TCTCTCTCTCTCTCTCTCTCTCTCTCTCTCTCTCTCTCTCTCTCTCTCTCTCTCTCTCTCTCGTGGTAAATTCCAGTGCCAGACCATTCTCTAAGCATGCAGGTACAGTTGAGTTGGCATGCGCACAAGCACAAACACTGCTGCTGATCACTATGAAGTTGCGCACGATTCTGCATCACGTACTCATCTGCGAAGCAACGTAAACCGCACGATTCTATGGGCCTCGATCCCAGAGAGGAGGCTGAAGAGGTGCAAACCTTCCCAGACTCTAAGAAACTAAGGGCATACTTAGTCATACACTCACACTTTCCTAAATGTATCCGCCCGCAAGGACGCCCCTACTTAGATGCATCGGCCTGCAATCACATCCAGAGCTGAGTCGCAGATTTCCTTTTGTGAGTAGTACTATGCCCTTACAGAAAGTAAGATGGAGAATCCCAAAAAAAAAAAAAAAAAAAAAAAAAACATTCACAAACGCAAATCTGCAGAGGGACCGTGGAGTAAAAAATAGATAAAAACAAAAATAAAAGTAAATAATTAAAATAAATAAAAAAATTGCGTTTGTGAAAAAGGACAAAAATGGTGAAAGCACTGACCAGTGCACCCTGTCCACTAATTGAACAACAGCAGCAATTTTTTATTTTCATTTTTTTTATTTTTATTTTATTTTTACAGCAGCCATTTCGGCACGAGGCAGAAGAGAAAGACAAGCAGCAGCAGCAGCAGCAGCAGGTAGCATTGGAAGTGACTTTACATTTTTTTTTTTTTTTTTTTTTTTTTTTAATTTGGACCATATCTCGATTTATGCATGTCATCCTTTTGCAGGGGCCATTTGCTAAAATCACCCTCCACTGTATCATTCCAAATTTAACGGATGTCCCGAAGAAGAAGTCTTATTGCTATTCAAAGTTTTTCTGTATCTAGACTGAAAATTGCTGCAAATACAGAAGAGTGCTGTGACATCAACACCCCCTTCAGCCTGTAGGCCTAAGACAATCAACGGTCCAGTCTCATGGACGCAAACACTCCCATCTCTACCCAAATCAAACGCGCCATCTTTACCTCTGCATCTAGACTGAAAGTTGCCCCAAATACAACTGTAATGAATGTACATTCTATTCGCGGGTAAAGGCGGTAGTCCTATCCCCACAGCAGACCATGCGGTCATTCTCATGTGCGGGCACAACACAAACACAACGCGCCAAAACTGTCTGCACCCTCTCTGTGACCAACCGACGAATAGACAGGTGCCCAGCCCCCCTAAACACTGCCCAGCCCCCCTAAACCCTAACCCCTAACCCCTAAACCCTAAACCCTAAACCCTAACCCCTAAACCATGACAAAATGATTTTTCCCTTCACCATTTCCCTGCCCTCCCCCCTCCTACCCCCTCCCCTCTCCCTCCCCCATCTCTTTCTATGAGCATTCTCTTCCCCTCCTTGCTCCATATGATGATGCTTACAAATACATCAATCTAGCATGCATTGAATCCCAACACACTCCTACAGTCTTCCTCCGAATGCAACGCACGGTCAGTATTGCTGAATTTGTGTATCTTTCGGTCTAAATTCAGCTATAATGACCGTGCGTTGTATTCGGGGGAAGACTGTAGCAAATGGGTTCTGCAGGGTCGTCCAGTCACAGGAGTTTTAGAGAATACTCGCAGTACGACTTTCTTGATAGAGAGAGAGGCACAGCAGATTGCTCACAGGGCATTGTCGAGGCACGAGAGAGAGAGAGAGAGAGAGAGAGACTCTGACAGAGACTCTGAGAGAGAGAGAGAGAGAGAGAGAGAGAGAGAGAGAGAGAGAGAGAGAACTAGTTCTGGGTCTGTTGTTAGTTCGGTGGGTGATAACTTCTGCAGAGTCATCCATGCATGCATGCACTGATTGATCAACTCGTTTTGATTGACTGATTGACTGATTGACTGATTGATTGATTGATTGATTGATTGATTGATTGATTGATTGATCAATCGATTGATCAATGGACTGATTGATCCATTCCACAATCTGTTAGAGACCAATTCTCAAAGATTGGTCTGTGAAAGCAGGCAGGTCAATCTTTGCATCTCTCTCTCTCTCTCTCTCTCTCTCTCTCTCTCTCTCTCTCTGTGTGTGTGTGTGTGTGTGTGTGTGTGTGTGTGTGTGTG